GTGGGTGAGACTGAGCTCTTTCAGCCAAAGCCTGAAGCTTAACCGGGTATTTGCATGCCACTCACTCCTCTGGGTCTTCATTTTCTCATCTATAAAATGGGGCTAATGGTTAGTAGATGCAATGAACTGGCTCAGTGCCTGGTATACAAAAGCATGGTGGAATCATTAACATCTTGGACCAAGGAGTAGAAATCTAGGGGTTGGGGTTCCAAAAGAATGAGACAGCACTCATTTAGAACCCCAACTGGGTTCTAAATGTATGGGAGGAAAAAAAAAAGAATCTCTGTTTTCAGTCCACAAATGTTTCCTACCCCTTTTTACCTCATTGAGGGGCGGCCCCATACCCATGTGATGTCACCTGGGTGATGAGAACTGTGAGGGGGGAGGTACAAGGGACACTAGACCTGACCTGTAGGCATCAAAGAGGCTCCTGAGCCCCCAGCCCAAGACTACCCCTCAGTCCAACTGTTTTGCACCCAGGCCTGCAGCCCCAGAGGACCCCTTCACCTCCCCTGGGCCCGCCCCATCTTCACGCCCTGCTGCCTGGAATCTGAGGCAGCCCTTGTTCTCTGGCAGGAGGGGAATTTAATGCCGCTGAGAGATGGCAGGTCGACAGGGGGAGAAAGATGAAAGTGTCCGCTCTGGCAGCCAGGGCCTGCAGCCTCAGGGGACCATCCCACACCCCCACCAGCCTCCTCAACCTTCCTCAATGTATCAGGAAGAGCCCTCAAGGGGCCCTCAGGGGAGATGTGGGCCTCTAGGGATTGGAGTCCCTGCAGGGCTGTGTGACCTTGGGGGGCAGCTGGGCTTCTCTGTGCCTGCAGGTCTGTATTAACATGCTAGGGCTACCCCAACCTTGTTGTCACCAGCAATTCCTCTAGTCCAGAGGCCTATGGGGGGGGGGTGTCCAGCAGGCATAGTGATCTTCATCCGTGATCCCTGGTACCTGGGAGAGGCGGAGTCAGGGCTATAATCAGGTCAGGACCAAGCAGCCTTGACTATAGTGGGGAGCCATCACCACCTCCTTTTTTATGGTAGCCCGGAGGAGCTAAGTGAGAGTTTGCCCAGAGGAGCTAAGTGAGAGTTTGCCCATTGGGCCCCCAGCCTCATGTACACCCTGAGATGTGAAGAGTCTTAGAAATAATCAGGTGACCTTGTTCTACAAAGTATACTGTCAAATGTCCTCACCCTACTGTCTCTGACTGGATTGACCTTTTCTGGGAATACGGGGGTAAGAACGCTTGGCCAAGGCCATCTAGCAAGGCCATGTGTACATACACAAAACTACAGCACATGCGCATATACACATTACACACACGCCACAGCTTTGACAGATGGTGACCAAGTGATGAGGAGGGACCCAAATGTCCAAACTCCCAGGCCCCTTTCCATTCTTTTGTAGGCAGCTGGCTCTTCTCCCAAGGCAGCCTGCTGCAGGAGACTGGTAGCTAGAAGCCCTGGGTTCTAATCGAGGTCCTGCTATCATCTAGTACGGCATGTTATATATTTTGTTCAGGCCCCAGTTTCTCATCTGTAAAATGGGCAACTATCTTTCTCTTGACAATATCTTGGAGCCAAAGCAGCAAATCTCAACAAACCAGCCCCAAACTGAAGACCAACCCTCCAAGTAGCTTTGGGTCAAGAGAAGGCACCCAAAGGGACTCAGCTCCTGGCCCACATTACCCATCAGTCATAGGAACTGCCCTACTTCCTCCTTCCTGCACACATGACCGTAGTAGCAAGCTCACAGCAGAGGGTCAAAAGCCTCCTTTGGATTCCTGAGTCAGGCTCAGGGCGTGGGACAGAGGTCCTAG